ATGAATATATAGACACCAGCAAAAAGATGCAGAGTAACATCAAATTTTGGCATGTGGCGGGGAAATGGACCTTTTCTATCTTTTGAAGGGGGTATTATACTCTAATTCATTCTAATCCAATGATATTGAGCCAACAAAGATGGATGAGATGTAAGCCACTAAGCAATTGGGATTTCAAGTACTGTCTCCTTTTGGGCAACTACAACATTGAAACTGAGAATCCATGATTTTTATCTCGTGGTCTTTCTCTGCTAAGTGCGTTTCCCAAACAATGCGCCATGGCCCCCGTTTCTGCGGACGCTCTCCTGCGGGTGGTATCTAGACATGATCTCGGCCACCAAGTATCCTGTCACCAGCTTTCCAGAGTCCCGGAAGATTCCTCTCTGGAACCATTGGATTTTGGGGAGAAAGGAACGGTAGAAAGGAAATAAGGACATGGTTTCATCAACACAGATCCTCATGCAAATGCTCATTGTCAAAATCCCAAGGGCGGCTATCATTGCAAAGTTCATGGGCTGCTTCGGCCAACTTATTTGTAAGACCTGTGCACTGTGCACTGTTTTAGTACAAATAGGTCCAACTCCAACTCTGAGAAAGCATGAAACTGAGGGCACCCTGAACAAAAGGTAGATCTCATCAGTCTTGTGGATTACCCTTGGTAAACTAACATAGCTATTGGACATTGCCACTTATAGTTCATTTACTTATTAAAAATGGTGGTTTCCCATAGCTATGTTAGTTTACCAGAGGGTAAAGTTAATATTCACAATCCGGTGGGAACTCTGACGCTCAAAAAAGAACTTCGCGGCATCTGCAGCGCAAGACTTGCCAGGTATGACCATTGCTAAAGTCCCTCTTTGGGTTTTTGATACCTGATCAGCGCGTTCAGTTCGGATCGGAAGAGACTAAGCAGTTGGACCTGAGTCATATCTTCGATGATGCCAATGAAAAAAAAGGAGCTGTGTTGAAGACAACATGCAACTGCAGAACCATGAAGTGGTGGACTTTGAGGATCCGCGACATCTTGACATACCCCAATCAATCACCGTAGTTGATATCATCCCAGCTGGCTCTGGCTCAGAATGATTGTCCCCCCGGTCATTTGTGGGTCCCTCGCTAGCTTCCCATGGATCAAAGGCACCAGTTCCCCGAGGGTAAAATAACCAAAATGTCTGAAAGTTGGGTGCCCCAAAAAAAGTTGATGGTTCATTATATCATTCTCATTTTACCATATTTTCCCATATCTTCCCATAAAATGCCATAAATCTTACCAGGGTGAATCCCCCTAATCCCTGCAGCTGGGGTGCTAAAGGACAGGTCTAAAGCCTGCAGCCATTTGATGATTTCCCTCGGCAGGGGTGCCGACCTCGGCATTTTCGGGATCTTTCAAGGCGGCCCACGGAAGCCACGCTAAAAAATCACTGAGGAATGAACGCCATCGGCAGATGGGAAAAGCCAACTGGGTTTCTACACTCCAAATTACCTGGAAAGTGGGATGCTGTTGAAGTTGTTGAAGTTGTTAAAGATGAGAGCCTGCCTTGTTGAGTTTCAAAGTCTGAACTGGCCCAGTGAGGATGAGTTTGGAATTACTAACAAAGTGCAAAGCCATGCTGCAAATGTAGAAGTTACGATTGACTTCTTTCATGCTTTGCTCTTCACCTAACTGAACCACCATGGCAGCGATGGTAATAGACCAATCCATCGAGCTGTTGGTAGAGACATCAAGGCATACTTGTATCATTGCCCGTTCACGTTAAATGTTTTTGGTCTGCTTCAGTCAGGTTTTGATCTTCCAGGGTCAGCAACCTTTGATGGAGCTCCAAGAATGGCAACCTGTTTCTGTTTCAATTGGAAACCCTATTGGTGGTCGCAACATCCCTAATCTCTAAAGCGTTCCACCATTCGGGGAAGCCAAAAACTACGCTTGTGACTTGGTAAAAGAAGAACTAGAAGCCCCCCAAAGCTGGGATCATAACCTCAAAAGCTAGGGTTCTAACATGTCCTAATGTTCTAACTAAGTCCCTCGTGTCAAGAGACCACTTGCACCCAGCGTTCGATTTTCGCAGCCCTCTGCGCGCAGAGGTGTCCCCGTGTCCCCCGCATCTGGTCATCTCATCTGGTCATCGTGAGAGTCTGCTACCCGCTATCACAGGCACCGGATTCAAACACGGGCAATTTGTTGAACGTTCCTTAAATGTGCAACCCCCAAAAACCATGGGTTAGTCTATTGAAACTTGCCCCTTGTTCATTGGATTCACGATGATTCACGATTCGCCAATTTGAAGGGCGAGTTTTTGCCTGTTGCAGGTCGAAACGAGTCGTAACGAATCGCCCGGATTGGATGTGTCCATTGATTTGGGGACCCCAACATGATTTGGGGACCCCTCCTGCAGGCAATGGAGATGACTGGGATCCCCAGTGTTAGGACACCGCCCGAAGCTAAGACCATGTTTGATCGCCATGGAGTGATTCCGTCCATGTTGTTTCCGATGCAGCCAACCAATGGAACAACTTGAGAGTATATAGTATATAGATACCAGATTTCGACTGCACCCCATTGTCTTTGTTTCTCAATGAGAAGCTCCGGAACGGCACTCTTCTAGAGCATAGCTTGTCTTCGTGAATTAGGCTCATGCACCTGTCACAAAGGGACAGGATTGAAGTCTCCACATTCGTTGACATCATCTTCTCTGCGCTTGGCACGGCGTCTTTGGTACACCTGCACCACATCGGTGCAAAAACTCTGCTCCATCTCTCTCGAAGGAGCCTTGCACTCTGAAGTCTTCGAATGTTGAGGGGTCAGCTCCATCTCTTTCAAACTAGCCTTGCATTCCGAAGTCTTTGAATGTGGAGGAGTCAGCTCCATCTGCGTCAAAGCAGCCTTGGTCTTTGACGGCTTCGGATGTGGAGGAGTCAGCTCCTCCTGCGTCAAAGCAGCCTTACGCTTTGAAGTCTTTGGACGTGGAGGAGTCAGCTCCATCTCGCGCAAGGCACCCTCGCACTCTGAAGTCTTGGGATGGTGCTGAGTGAGCTCCCTCTCCTTCCAACTAGCCTTGCGTTCTGAAGTCTTTGGACATGGAGGAGTCATCTCCATCTGCCTAAAAATCTTCCCATGTTCAGGAGTCAGCTCCATCTGCAGCAAATTGGCCCTTTCCTCTGAGGTGAGTTCTCTCAAATTCATCTGTCCATGCCCTGTTTTTGACCCCTTCGGGGACTCGCAGGTGAGGTCCTCCTCCTTTCCATCTCTGCTTCTGGGGCTTTCTGCCTTCGAAGCCTGGAGCTGTTCTGCTTCTGCTTCTGCCAGAAATTGCATCACCGTGTGCACGCAGAGCAAAGAACCATCCGTCAGAATCCCGCAGCGGTCCTGGAAGCTGTTGGGAAAATAGGCAAGTCACAGCGTAATTCAAAGGTTGGGTCCAAACTTCCAAACCAGAAACAACCTCTTCAAAGAGAAGATGCAAAGTTTAAAACCTCGTTTTCCCCATTTTTGAATGGCCATAGCTGTGGTTTTACAAAATATCAATTTCTGGACAAACACGACGTACGACCCGAAGAGTTACCTCAGTTTCACTTGGTGAAATCCCTCAGTTTCGCTGATAAAAAATCGGCCAAATCCCTGGTCTTTCCGACATCGTTTTTGTTGAATCCCCCAGTTTTGCGTGTGAAAAATCCCAATGTTTGGTGCCTTCATAGAATTGGAAGATGGGAAAATTTACAGGAAAGCCCTATATTTGATGGTAAAACCATGGTTTCCTGTAAATGTTCCCTTAAACCAATCCAGTGATGCCTGAATCATCTGAATCATCGAGATTTTGTGGGTCCAAACAGTCCAAAGCCACCATGCCTACATGGACCAACAGAACCAGACAGTCCTGGAAGATGGTGAAGGTGCGCAAGATGTCGAGCAAGGCCTTGTACAAGGCCCCCAAAGGATTTGGAGCATCTCTTGGAATATCACAAACAATGACGGTATGATATGATATGATATGATATGATGTGATGTGATGTGATATGATACATTAGCCCATCCAAAAAAAAATGTAGGCAATATGTGTATATTATATATATATGTTCTATTTAATATATATATATATACGTATATATAATGTATAGTTCCCATTATTTTTTCTATAATATACCCAAAAATGTCCTTGTTCAATATTAATTTCATTGGGACAAAAATCATGATCACCCACCAGTCCTGGGTAGAGCCCAGTTGGTCTTCCAGATGGCCCCTGGCCATGGAAGAGCCGCGCGCCAGCCATCCCAAGAGGATGCTGGCCATGGCGTAGGTCAGATGGACCTACGGAAGTTGGAAAACGTTGGCGCCACCCCCAACGTTTCAGCGGAGAAAAGGTGGGAGATATACTTGGGATATACCTTGGAATATATCTTGGGATATATCTTGGAGATATCTTGAAGGGTGGGTCTAGGTTAGAGACATGAAATCTTGAGCCATACAGTGATCTAGATACAGAATGATACAAATTGGCGAGGTGGATAGAAAGAAGGGCTGTGGGTGGTGTATCAGTGTATCCAAAGAACGCGGGCTGTGCCAAACTCAACTGCGAGGAGCAGTAAAAATGAATCATTGATCCCTCAACATCCCTCTACCATATCAGTGATTGTCGGTGGGATCATGAAGCACACAAACCTCAGTCTCCCTTGGCAGTTCAAGATCTGCCTCTACCTCCAACGTCTCTGACTCAGACAGCTGTTCCTGATGGGAGCAGTCCAATGTGATACGCTGTCACTGGAGCGGAAAAATCAGCTGTGAACTGGAGATATTTGACTGCAACCAGACTGGGGGAGCAGTTCCTTCTGCAATAAGCCCTGTGGTTTGAATGGATCCCAGCCATCCAAATATCGCTGATCCCCAGCCTTGTACCAAGACAAGGACTTCGCCAGAGCTTGTGAAAATGGGCGCACAATCCCCACTCCACTCAGTTCCTTCGCACACAAAACACTGCGGACTCAAGTCCATCTGGGTCTGGTGGTCTAGTCAAAAATTCAACACCCATCTGGCCATCTGAGCAAATTACAACATGTTGTGTCAGAACCAGAAATCAACTGCATGTTTGGAGATTTTAGGAATGATTCCCATACTAAGCATCATCTACCATCTGGTTATGACTAACATAGCCATGGAAAATCACCATTTTTAATAGGTAAACCATCTATAAATGGGCCAGCTATACCATGGCTATGTTAAATAACCAGAGGGTATATGTAGGTTTTTGTTGAGGTCCTTGAAATTTGCCCAGACCAATCAAGCTACAGGACCTTGGCATTGGTTGGTGATCTAATAACATGGGATACCCCATTCCATAGCCCATTCCATCCATTAGTTCATCGTCATTATCCCTAGTTTGAACTAATGGATGGAATACCCTACTAAGCCCTAAAGTTGGATTGAACTAATGGATGGATTATACATTCATCCAGTTGGGAGGGTATACCCTACTATCAGACACGGCCTCTAAAAATAGAATGGGCCACTAGGGAAAGCCAGCTGCCAGGATGCAGCTTCCCCTCCTGACAGAAGCTCTGGCTGCAGGAAGCCAAATTCCCCAGGATCCCCAGGACGCTGCGAACGGAAGCCGACAAACCTGTGTGTGCAGCTGACTGATGCCACCCCCGGATCACAAAACTGGAACCCCGCTTATTTAGACCCCAAAATGAACAAATACCATAGGTTTTAGCGGGGTTCTGGTGGGATGTCTGTTAATAAATGAAAGATATTGCATCATATCAAACAGCAATGTCACTTTGCGTCACTGCAAATTTGTGCAACAAGACCTATCAGTTAAGACTATGTGCTACACAGTTTTACAAATGCAGCCGATTTTCGGCTCGACTACACTGACTACACTACACCCTTGAAACGAAAAACATGATCTGAAAGATGATTTGGGTATGGATCAATACCTATTAATACCATTTTTAGTGGGATGAACATCCATTTACCAGCTATTTTGATGTTCACCAGGGGTACAAGGTTTGACACACTGCCATTTTCCTCCTGTTCATAACCCAGCTTTAGGTGCCATGCATCACCAATCCCTTCCCCCGAACCAGATCTAAACACAGCTTCCACCAGGCTTTCTGCTGTAGATCTCCCATTTCCGAACGACCAAAAAAAACCGGCGGTTTAAGTGGTCTGGTAATTTGTTACAGTTTGCTATGGAAAATGATCATAGAAATCGTGGATTTACGATTTACACACGAAAAATGGTGATGTTCAACAGCTTAATTATCTTAGTTTACCAGAGGGTAACCTCTTAGAATCTCCTGAATGCCCCAAGTTCTTGCTGAAATAGTACCCTCTGGTAAACTAACATAACTATGGAAAATCTCCATTTTTGATGGGAAGATCAACTATAAATAGCTATGTAACAAATTACCAGAGGGTAGTGTTCAATCCCCCAGGTTTTACAGCTGAAATTGCCTGGCACATCTAGGTGGTGGCATCGCCCCACAAGCAGCTGCTGCATCTCGCCGTTGAACTGGGCATGGAGAAATCTGTGCCTATAATGGGTACCCTCTGGTGAACTAACAAAAAACTATGGAAAATGGCCATAGAAATAGTGGATTTTCCCATGAAAAATTGTGATTTTCCATTGCTATGTTAGTTCACCAGAGGGTACATAACCCACCCAAAATTGTGTGATTTTTTGGTTCTGTAACCTGTGGTCAGACCTTTGTTTTAGAAGATTACCACGATTACCACTTGGTAGTTTGTTGATACTCTGCCAAAAAGTGATCACTAGTAAGATAAATGTGGTGTTGACACTCACAAAAGAAACATAAAAATCTAAGTGCAGGGCTACAATACATCCAGATCACAGATCACTAGTTGTTAATCGACTGGGGGTTACTAATCTGAGCTATGAGGTTGGTGTAAAAGCTTAGAACTACCATCCCATGTTGCCATAAATCCGGCAAACAAAACCTCGGACATCTAATTAGGATCAGCTATATACTATCTCCCCAGTTTGAATCTAAAAAAAAACATTCCTATGGGTTTAAAAAAAAAAAAAAACATCATATCCAATAATGTCCTTTTGGTAAAAATAAAGGGGCCGGTTTGGTATACCATCTATCATCATAGAAACCTGTTGTTAAAGGAGTTTCTTCAAACCCCTCTATTAATCAACCAACCAATGGGGAAAAGGACATCTATGATCATATCACCATCCATTGCCAGTGAGGCACCAAGGGTGCCAAGGGTTCCCGTGTAAAGGTGACCAGAGCATGCAGAGCTCGCAGGCAGCTGTGCTGACAGCCACTTGGGAGGCTGACGTCGGACAGGGTTTGCCTGGCAAGGTCCCCATGGAAAGTGCGGCTGGGAAGCAGTGAAACTCATATGATTCTGGAAGCCCGGGAAAATATGACCTCTCAATTTCATGAATACCCTCTGGTAATTTAACATAGCTATTGAAAATGGTGATTTATAGTGGAATTTTCCATTGAAAATGGTGATTTTCCATAGCTGTGTTAGTTTACCAGAGGGTACTATGTAAAAACATGTGAATACTATATACATGTTGGTGATCCCATCAGGCAAGGTCCGGCCACGCGCGCCTTCCTTTTGATTCCAAGTATGGCATCGTACATCTCAACACAAGTAATGTAGGATTCACCCGATACCATAAACCATCCGGATAATGAGCGCGTACAATAAAATTCTGGAGCCCTAACTCCATTTTGTTACCTGCTAGGGCTAGGGGGTCGGGCATATTTCGCTGCTGCCAACCTTTCATACTTGTGTCCATCATCATTGGTTATACATGAGTCAGAAATAGATACAGTGTATCCGATCATAGATCCAAAGAGATCTACTTTTACAATACGATACGCGTATATCTTGATCTGTCTCTATTTCTGTATCTAAACTATCTATATAGAATCTATCATATATTCACAAAACAACACAAAACAATATGTCTTTCCTGATTGTATGCCTTATGGAGGTTTCCGAAAAAATGCCGGTACACCAGAACCATAGCTTTCAATACTCAGTCATGGTCATGACTTGGGTGATTAGGGGGTACCCCCAGGAAACCTCCATTCCGCCGTTCCGCCGGGCGCACCTGGCAGCCTCCACCACCTGAGACACGGCCGAAACGGCGCCGCCACCGGGCGCCGTGCGGGCCAAGCGCTCGAAGGCCTGGAAACCATGGGGCTTTCCCCCGGGAAGACGGGGGGTGAAACGGGAGACTTCACCTGTTTGATCATGATACGATACGGTTTTCATGGGGATACTGTGGATGGGCCAGCGAAATCCTGCACCAGGCAGGGTAACTATTGGGAACTATAAAACATTGTAAATAATGGGATTACAATGGGATAAACCATCTATTAACTGGTGCAGGATTTCCTCCATCCACAGTATCATCAGGAATTTCTGTGTTTTTTGACCCATGACTTGTCCAAAACGCATGGGATCCTCAGGCGCGTTTTCCAGCCACATGAGCATCCCGGGGGTCTAGTGCGCCCAAGCGACCTGCCACAGAAGCTCGGAACTCAATCTTTGTTGCAGAGCTGCTGGGAACCTAAGCTATACACGAACTCCGGATTTCAGTGCAGAATTCTTGCCTGTTTTGAATGGGTAGAATGGTTCTTCATGGTTCTTCCTTCAGTGTCCTTTAACGCCACATGACACCCCGCTACGCCCATCTGCCCTATGTGCATGATGTTGGGGATGGGTCAAGGATGGGACAACATGACCACAATCTGCCCCGGCTTAAACTTTGCCCCAAACCCAACTTGGAACTTGGTCAGTACCGCACTGTAGACACCAAACAATTGACCATGGTGGACCGGCACATCTAGGTCATCACTTCGGGGCCAGGGTTCACAAGGTGTGATAGATATTCCCAGGTGATCCATCAGTCCATCCAAGTAATCTATGGCACGATGACCTGCGCAAGTTACCTTTGCTGCCCAGAAGCCAAGCCCACAATTTCTCCACGGCCTTCGGTGACGCCTCCGCATTGAAATTGCCCAAGCACCTGCATTCGGTCCGTGCTCATGGTGGACCCTAGGGATGTGTGCAACTTGTCTGACCAACATCGCAGCAACGGAAATGGACCACCGCTCCCCACAGGCCACACCTCCACAAAATCAGAAGAGAGATGGTCCGCTCCGAATCACCTGCCGAGGGACATATGAGTGGCTTAACAATGAGAGTTTAAGCTGAGACAATGCCTGCAGTAGCCGCGGTAAAAAGAGGTGTTATTGTCAGGTTCTGCAACGAACCAAGCCAGGTGAATGTGATTTCGATCTGTGGCACCTCTCAAAAGTGGCCTCCTATGGGAAGTCCCAGGCTTCAACCCATCCCCAAATGTTTCTGAGTTCAAACGTCAACAGCCTGCTGGTTCCATCAGCAATTGTGGTTCCTGCAGGGCGCAGGTGTTGATATCTACCAGCCGGACTCATGGTTCTACACCTCGCTGCAAATGGATAGACCCTCTGGTAAATTAACAGTTCGACCCTGGCAGTCATCGGGGTTGGAAGACTAGTTTCCATTAAAAAATGGTGATTTTCAGGGTCTATGTTTATTTACCAGAGGGTATAACGATACAAGCAATCAACAGAAGTCGTGACAGGCTTCTTCTTACCTGAAGAGGTTTGCAGCACAAAATTTCCAAGACCTGGCAGCACTTCAACCAATGTGCTGTGGCATCAGACCGAAGATGTCCGAATCCAAACTCGGGGCCACAACATTGGAACACAAAGCCTTTAAACCAAAATTATGAAAATGCGTGAAAAATTTATATGATATATATATATATTTATATATGATATATATATATCATAGTCACGCAAACCAGTCTAACGTGCTAAACCCAATAAACCTCCAACTGGGGATAGTTTGAATCCCACCCACTTCTGGAAAGTCATCGGCGATGTGTTCATGAAACTGGCTTTACCACATGAATCCCGACTTAAAATCAGTGTCTATCAGTTCGTATCAAAGCGTATCACCCATCATGTGACCATCCACCAACACTTACCACATTTTAATTCATAGAAATATGGATGATATATCATATTATCCCTGGACTTCCACCATACCCAGTGAAAAACTTGCACGTTCATGATAGTACATGATTCACTGATAGTACATGATTCACTTGACCCCTGAAGAATGATATAGAATAGATATCCCCATGATATTCCCATGATATTCCCATTACATCCCCCTTTCCCCGCATCTCCGGCGCCCCTTTTGGGCTCGCTCTTGGCGGGCGCTCAGCTGGCGCTAGTCGTCGAGCCAGGAATCCTCCGTGACCGCGAGACCCGAGGCGGCGAGCTCGCGGCGGAAGGTCAGATACCTTGCTGAGCTCTGAATCCAGGGTGACCCCGGAGAATCCATTGGATGATCAATGGATTACCCTCTGGTAAACTAACATAGCTATTGAAAATTGTGTTTTATAGTGGATTGTTCCATAAAAAATGGTGATTTTCCATAGTTATGTTAGTTTACCAGAGTGTATTAAAAATAATATGGATTTAGTATTGTCCAATTGGATAATTGATAATATGGATAATTGATAAATGGATTTATGAAATGGTTTGGTATACCATCTATCAGCATTTACCTGTGGTTAAAGGGGTGAAAACCCCTCTATTAATCAACCAACCAATGGGAAAAGGAGATCTATGGCCGTGGAGATATCAATTGGATAATAAATATGCTTAATAATCCATTTATCATTTATAATCCAATTATATCCAAAAATATAATGGTTGGACCCCCAATCGTCAATATATCAAGTGGATAATAAATATAATCCTTAAATCCAATGGATGATCATACTTCTTCCCTGTTAAAATGTTGTTATTTTGAGGAGATATGCCCCCCATTTTCAGACACAACATGACACAACCACATGAGGATGGATCAAAAATGACGAAAAATCACCATTAATCATGTTCGATTTCACTATTAAAAATGGTGACTTCAACATCAAAAATGCTGATTTAACCATCAAAAATGGTGCAACTTAGTGTAATGGAATATGAATGGAAATATAAGTGGAAATAATTGGTTACCCTCTGGTAATGACTAACGCTTTGCTATAGAACATGGCCCATTGTGAAATTGATTTGCCTATTCAGAATGGTGTTTTTCGATAGCTATGCTATGCTAAATTGCTAAATTGCCAGAGGGTACGTTTATCACTAATGCAACTGATAAGCAGAAACTCCGGAAGGTATACAGGCAACAAAAAAACTGCTATGCCCTTGTTGAACCAACAACATTTTTTCGGGCATTGTAAAAAACCGGGCTTGGTCAAACCAACTGGTACTTCTTTTTTTTTGGTTCACATCCCAACGATCCGATAGAAACGGCTATCAGCTGGGATGTTGATATCTATCCATTCTGGGTGGCAGGTTTTATTTCGCATCTAACCAGTGGGAGATAGAAAAAACGACCATGTCATTGTTGAGCCGCTGGCCCATCATAGGCGAACGAAACATGTTGGAAACATGTCTTACCGAGCTTCGTTAAACCACTTAAAAATGCTGGCTGAGCCCAGTGGGCCCAGTCCCACAGAAGATTTACCAGCCATTGCGCTAGCCGTTACGCTGGCCTGACAGGATCTGCAGTAGCCAAACCTTACCATCCTGGCCACCAAGGTGCCCTTCTGGTGTTGCTCCTTGAGGCAGTTTCACCTTTTCGCCTGGCGCTGGGCGAACGACCAGGCCATCGAAAATGGCCATCATGTAAATATGAACATATAAAAACCGCCTTTTCTGAAACCAAAATGATGTCCCAGTCCAGTGATGCAGCTTAAATTCGAACGCTGCTCCGACACGAAGGTGCCGAACCTTCGCATGCAAAATAACAGAAACGCATAGGCGCGCCTGCTAATCTAGGAAATCTCCTGGAATCAGAAAGAGTCTTGATGCATACACATACAGTAATCACAGTAATCATCACCGTTATCATCATCATTATGACTATCATCCTCAGCATCATCATCATCATCACCATCATCACCATCATCATCATCATCATCATCATCGTCACCAACAGGATGATCATAGTAATAATTATCACAATAATCATGATTGCAATCACTGAATTACTGCCCTCGTCACTGACATAATCCTTGTAAGTTACAATCCTATAATTCATATAATTAGTCATAACAACCATAACTATAAGAATCATAGTGTATTATCCCATGGTAATTAGTTATAATGCTATTGCTATACTCATTGGGGATAATCACTATCATGTGGCTGGGAAACTCTCGTTAGTTCCTTGGCTTCCCGTTTCATAGAGAATCTTGGTCCCCACGGCTCCCTAGCTCCCTCCTAAGCACCCGATGAATCTCAATTATAATCATATGTTCATATAATCATACAATCACACAATCATAGAATTATATAACCAATAATTGAATTATATATATAACTAATTATATAACCAATAATTATATAACCAAATTATAATCATAGAATTATATATATATATAGTTGCCCACTACTACTCCTCCTCCTCCTTACTACTACTCCTATATACTCCTATTCCTACTCCTGCTCCTACCACTCCTACTACTCCTACTCCCAACCGCGCACGGCCAGGAACACGGCACGGTCAGCACTTTCCCACCGCCCTTCTCCAATAATAATGATCGCTTAGGGATGATTATCGTTATTGGGATGATTAAAAAAAAAACGTGTTCTCCTCCAAAATGGATATCATCCCAATATATGTTTATCCCAATTTGGGGATAGTATCCTCCACTAATACGGGGACGAAAATGGCAGTGTGTCAAAACCTTGTACCCCTGGTGAACATCAAAATAGCTGGTAAATGGATGTTCATCCCCCTAAAAATGGTATTAATAGGTATTGATCCATACCCAAATGATGATAACAATACTCATCCCCAATTTTTTCGCGTGCATCCCCTACTTCCACCTCTGCAGAGCTGATTGTAGAGCTCATAACGGCCTTGTAGGTCGTCGGACTTCAACGTCAGAAGCTCCTCCGGGGGGTGTCTATGGCCCGATTTCACCGGCAAAAATGAGTTATCTCCAGGTTTAATGTGATTTAATGGGAACTATAATGTGATTTTTTACCATGGAATATTTAGGATGCAATAGGATTTCCTGAAAATCGACTGGCATTCAGTGGGGTTTAATGATTTTTTATAAAGTTTTGAATTTGATGTAAGCACCAAAGAAGCAGGATTTAGGCAACAAAACTGGTGAAATGCTTATACAAATAGGATTTTTTGTGGGATTTTTTTCGGGGGATATGATAATATGTCATGGGGAAATCTCAATCCAACACCATGGAATCAAAGTTGGAAAATCCGCCAGACCCGGCCAGGGCTCCAAGCCGAGATGGCTGGGACCCCCTTTTTTTGATGGCTATGAATCCATTCAGATGGGTCGAAGCACATAATGGGATATCAGATTTGTCCGATTTATCATATATATATATATATACATCCCACTATTATCATCCCATATGGGAAATTCCCCCTTCTTTCAAAGGACGTGAAATGTGGAAGAACCCATCCGTGTTCCCCATGTTTCAACGTCGTCCTGCAGGGTGTCGGGGGCGCCATGGCCCACCAAGCCTGAGACCTCCATCTCTCCAAGTCGAAGGCCTCCACCTTTGGAACCTGAGATCGCACAGCTGGTAACGTGGCTGGCTGGGAAATCCTCTACAATGTGGGGCCCCCTAGTTATAAGTTGGTTTATAACCCCATCTAACTATGGTTATAACTACCATAAACCCTAGTTATTGTAGTTATAAACCAACTTAGCTATCTTGAGGGCCCCACATTGTATAAATGGACCAAATGGAGGTTTTTATGGGAAATGGGGGAGTTTCACTTGCCACGTTTGAGTTTTGGAGGGCAAACCTCCACTTGGCTGGATAAGTTCTGGCGATTTTGGGATACTTATACATACTAAACATCATTCTCGATAGTTCCCCCCCACAAAATTTACTACGCCAAAAATGAGGTTTGGAAGATGATTTTCTTATTGCCCTGGCCATAAATTGGATTCTGTATGTTGAATTTAGGAAGTGTACACTGACATAAACCTGAAATTGGGGAGCTGGGATGGGATGGGCCTCCAATTTATGGCCCATCCAAGCGAGTTAACCAAGAAACACTGGTGATGTAATGTGGGTCTGTCTGAAAGTTGGGCCCTCAAAACTGATTGATGATCAACCATGATTCATGAACAAATCCATGTGCTGAAAAAACAGCGGACCAGCAAAGGTGTGAGCCGCACCCCCTCCTAGGCCCTATCGATCCAGTGAATCTATTTTCTGCAATCGATCCCCAGAATCCCCAGAATCCCAGTTCCCAGAAGTGGTTTAAGGAAAGTTTACGGTACGCCCGAACAGTTTTGAGAGTTAAAAACCCAATGGGTTTAACCAGCAAAGATGTCCCATCTACAATCAAGCCATTGAACTCTCCTGAAATCCCTGCAGACCATCGCACACCAAGTGGCGACCCTTGAGAGGTTGCTGTGTGAGCATCTGAGTCGGGGAGATGTTGTGATGTGCCGTTGGGGACACTAGGAATCTGCCAAATTTCAAGATGCATCAGATGCAGGGACAGTCGCGCGACTGAAGCACACGGGGTTCCAAACAGAAGTTTAAACATTTGGATCCCAGTTCTGGTCTTGAAAGTATTGCACACCATGGTCAATCTGGATCGGGAAAGCACAAGCAGCACCTTTACATGGTGTCTCAAACTGTTGCGCCGATATCATTCTTTGAATTTTCACCAAAAGATCAACCCAAAAGTCAAGTAGGGCCAGGCCGACCCATGTTCCAAGAGATATCTTCCACTAACAGTCCCATGGGGAGAAGCTGCGAGCTGGAAATCCGTCCAAGTGACATTGTATCCTCCAGCAGAGGGTGCTCTCGAGTGGATCTTGTCCTCAGGTGAGAGGGTTGTACAAGTTGTACCCCAGAAAAATACACACTGTTCCGGCAGTTCTGGCAGTTAATTACAAATGTTGCAAGTCACAAAATGGCATAGCATGGCATAGCATGGCATAGCTTAGCCTTCCACTACCAACTACAAAAAAGTCCTTGTTTCCTGGTCGCAGAAAACTTGACACTTGGTCCTGGTCATAGAGTCGTGTGACTGCACAATTCCAACTCAGGACACTGCAACGAGTCGTTTTTCTGAGTATGATGGCAGTGAATCATCTCAGCCATTCCGACAGTGGATGCATTGCAGAAGCTCACCACCCCAACATCTCTGCGAAGCTGTTGCTTCCAAATATCCGGATGAGTGTCAACATGAAAGGACAGCTGTTTGGTCATGCCATAAGGATGTGTTCCTCCTGCTTGTTACTCCCGGAAAACAAGCGGAAACCCCGCGTTTTCATCGTAAAAATCTGATTCATCCCCTGAAGCCCTGATCGAAATCATCTCTGGAGCACCCCATCTGACCCATACAATACCCATATATCCACTCCGCTTTCTGCAAGTTGCACGCACCATGTGGCACAGCTTGATGATGTACCTCCGATAAAAACTCCAAAGTGTTGGGAACGACAGACCAAAAATATCCCTGAACTTGGGCAACTAGTGGACATTCGAATTTTGGATGATTATGGATGCACTGTGGATCTGCAAATCATTAAGCTGCTGACGATTGTGGATTTGTTTTAAAAAGTTCAGATCAATTACTGTAGATCATACTAGATCGAGCAAATATGTTATCCAAAATTTGGATACTGCTTCCAAAATAAGAAGACCCACTCATCTCCCCGCGCCAAGGGCACGACACGCCCACCGTCACAGGCTGCTCCAGGGGGCGGCCCGTCTTCCCGTCGTAGACCTGGTGGGCAAGATGATCCAACGAGTATCAACAAGCCAAGAACAGAGGATGTAACTCTATAGCTGGGTAAATTGTCATATTTCACTCACCTGAAATAACCATGATTCCATATTGTATGGAAAATCATATTGCATTACATGAAATTATCTTATAGGTACATATAGCTGGGTAAATTATAATAATTCACTCACCTGAAATGTTGGGCCATTTGGGGATGATTTCCCTTACTAACCATGATTCCAGGGTTCGGGAGAACAGGGTTCGGTCGCGATCAAATTTACCCTGCTATAGGGATCATGAGAAGGTTGGGATGTTGGGGATGTAACATGATGCTTGCGCAGCCTAAGCAGCCAAAACGAAGATGTAACCAATAGAAATGGCGACGATAACATTTAAAAAAGTTTAGGCCAATGATCAAGAAATGGAGATGTTAGCAGGTTCATACAGGATTCCAGCCCCAAACATGCTGGATTTCAATGTATCCCATCATGGTTTTACCTCCAGGAAATTCAACCGGCTAAATCCACATCGCCATTTCCGCTGCAAAACGCGTGTAAAAACTGAAGGGGATGCTGCCACTGTATAGATTCTTAGGCCTGAGACGGATGAATAATGCTTACTAGCAAACCATCAAAACCACCAGATTCGGGTGATCCAATTTGGACTTAAGCTTTTACCGGCCAAACATTTGGACTCAACTGGCTGGCTATATCCTCTGGGAATCTACAGAAATCGGAATCCCATGCAGTCCAAGTGACTCTCGTCTTGCCAGGGTATTCACTATCCAGCAACCATTTGTTGCCAGTGCTCTCCTGAGCCCTGCGCAGAGCATCAAAGACAAGACCTGCAGCGTGGCTGTGCTGAAAGCGGGGATGAAAATTGTGCTGGCATGAAAGAGCCAAATCAAAAATGGGGATGTATTCAATCTGACAGATACAAATACATACAGATATGAAATGAAATGAACATACAACTGAAAGTAGGCCTTGGCCTGCAAGCGGTTGCGAATTCTCAGTGCCATTCTACTTGCCTTCCTTTCCGATGCCCTACGTTGGTGAATTTCGGGAGCTTTTGAATCATGCCCAGCTTTTTTAAGCAAACCCATGCAAAAGTTCGCTGGCATGCAATCAAGGGCTACCAAACAAGCTCAAGATGGACCTCAAAACTGAGGTCCAAGGCTTCGCCTACACTGCATAGAAAATACATAGACTTGATTGGTTTCCGGCTTAGATTCAGCTGTTGAATACTTGGTGTCTCCCAGTGGTTCCTCCGGCTTCGGCTGGGCGCCTCTGGAGGCTTCTTCCGAGAACATTTCATCAAAGGCGCCCACGCGGTACTCCTCGCCATTCCAACGCCCTGCACTGCCCAGGAGATTCTCAAAGATCTGACCCACGTTCATGCGGGAAGGCACACCTGTGGCCACATTTGACCATGGCACACCCAAAATCAGATACCAACTGGTGCAGAAAATTGTGTCATGTCTTCGATTTAAACCATCCAACTTGGGGGTAAGCAATATTTGAGGCATATTACCGTTCATATCCCAGTTAGAACTAGGGCTACAACCACGACCAGTACCATAACAATGCAGGGTCAACTGGGGTTTGAACATGCTTATGACGTCAGGGGGGCCCTCTTCATTGAGCCGTCAGCCAACAGGACGTTGCTGTGATGAAGGCTTTTGTGGTGAATGATTCTGGAGCACCAACTCCCTCCGACAACTCCAGGGGTCGCTTGGAATCATCTTAGACTACAACTGTCTATATTTTGGGAAGCGGCACCGCAGCCATTGACACAGGCCTAGTGGGTTGAGGCAAACATCAATTGGTGTGCCATCAGGAAGGTATGGCATATCGCGATCCTCCACAACCTTCGACACGATTCCTTTGTTCCCATGGCGTCCCGAAAGTTTGTCGCCCACTCCGATGCGGCATTGCACTGCAAGGAAAACTGATGCCTCAGTTGGAGGATTTCTGGGGACAAGAAAGCACGGCCTGCACCGAATACAACGCCTCTCGACAACGGGGCATGGATAATTGTTGTTGGTACTGTCACTCCAAGCGAATCCTTTTGAACTGCAGAACTGCCTTTTAGAGTTGTTTTTCCCATAGATGCACAACTAAAGGTCCATAGAGCAATACAGGAGGCCCATAGTAGACTTCGGGAGCGCCTAAATGTCAGGAAAACCAGGGACATGATATTATGTTCACCGCAAACAAATGAAAACTGATCTCTTAATAAGTTTGAAATCTTATCAATGCATGTCCTTAGAAGCCACAGCTCGAGGCAGTTGTCTCCATTTGGCAGCTCAAAATGTCATATTGGTAGATTGGCCAGAGTTTATGCCGTTGTGTTTTCCACTACTCCCTTCCTCCTAATACTAGATACCCCCCATGCAACCCCTAAAATGGATAGATCCAATACTTATCTATATATCTATATAGATAGATAGATAGATAGATGGATAGGATAGGATAGGATAGGATAGGATAGGATAGGATTAGATTGGATTAGATTAGGATTAGATTAGATCAGATTTGATTAGGTTAGATTAGATTAGGTTCGGTTAGGTTAGATTAGATTAGGTTAGGTTAGGTTAGGATTCATTAGATTAGATTAGATTAGATTAGGTTAGATTAGATGGATAGATAGATATAGGTGTGTAAAACTATGGTTTGTAGCGATTTAATGTTACCAACATTATATTGGCTACGCCCAGTCGGGAAAGTCAGTGCACCGTCTGTTTCAAAACAAATCGCAATGGGACGCAAGTTTCACCACAACTACAAAGTGAAGCGACCAACCAAAGATACAGGTGCAAGGGCGGATGCAGCCCAAACAAACAGACAAGCCTCCCGTGCCAGGCACCGCCTGAGGCCTAGGCTCACGGCCAAGGTGCAAACACGGTCATGCATGTTTGGGCACGTGCCGAGCAGGCGCATTAGCGCATCACCCTGCTCTCATGCCCGACAAGGCGAGCGTTGGCCGTTGGCCTCAAGCACGCAGGGCTGTTGCCACCCTGATCGCCCGGCCAGTGACGACCGCTGCGTGTGCCCCTTGTGGCGCAAGCAGCTCGGTAGTGGGAAGGCAAGCAGCAGCAACAGCAGCAGCAGGACCAGCAGAACCAGCAGCAGTAGCAGCAGTAGCAGCAACAGCGACAAGACAAGACAAGGCAAGACAACTCACGTATTTTCCGGTGATACCCCGGCGAACTGACATATTAGGGAAATTCCGAACCTACAAGAACGCAGGTAGACATATCAATGTTCCAAAACATGTCTTCCAAAACACCACCTGGACGCAGCATGCACCGACTTCCAGAAATCTTTCCCCCCAACTTTCCACTTTCCACGCAACAAAGCAAGTGAACGCATTGAGTTTCCAAACGGGGTGTATATATTCCCATTTCAGCATAATTAAACCGTGTCTAAGCCGTGGTTAAACGCCATTGATGATTAAACCACCATGAAAATTGCATGTCACCATCAGTTTGGTGGAGCTCTTTCACATTAGGGGAAGTGATTTCATTGGGTTTGCCAACCTCATTTTCCTCCATAAATTGGGTGCTCATCCATTTCTGAACAAATTGGGTATAATTCTAGTTCAATTTTGGTAAGGTATCACCAATTTTGACCCATCCTCGAGTACAATTTCTCCCAGTTGCCACCTTCTTGATGGCACCCGGTTTCTTCTCCACGGTGCGAATGCAACTGCCAATCACCCGACCCTGCACGCCCTCCGGGACACACATGGTACGAGGTATCAGGCGAGTGACTCCTGACGGGCTCATGGACATTCATGGACCAGATTCCCAGTGGAAACCGCATTAAAAAAGAACAAAGCGGTTCTTAAGCGATGGCTGGGAAGATGATGATTGGGGTTCCAAAAACCAATTCATGCTCAACCCCAAGCCTTAGATAAACTGTTTTTATTTGGTCGAACCTCAAAGAATCCAGCCTGACTTGTTTTTGGTCTGCAGGGCGTAGATCGCAACATCTCCACCTTGCAACCAGGTTCCAACCTCTGGTAAGCCATTGGTCATGTAGTCCAAAGAATCCACGTTTGACTCCGGATCCATGATCCTTAAAAGAACGTTTCATGTCGGGGACGGGAAAACCCCTGGCTGCAACCTGGGGGACTCAAAAATTGGTTGGGTCATGCTTAGAAACTGAAAGCATCGGTCCATTGATACCCCAAGTTCGATACATTCCAAATGGTTTTGAGGCTCCTGGTTCTTCGTTGGATCTGACAAAAGACAACCCACAGGGGAATACATATCTTTCCGTACAGATAGACTGTGTATCTCATGTACAGTATATATATATACATGTGGGACATGCATGGCATGTACGTATAATCACATGTTGCTGCTAAGTTTATGTTGCTGCTAAGTCTGCTAAGTCCATGTCTTTCCAAGTCTCTCGGAATCTAAGCTCTCACATTACTCTGAAACATAGATGGAGAGCTCAAGCCAAGCCCAGCCAAGTCGCCGGGGGGTGAAGAAAAGATCATCGTCATTCAAGCTCATCGTGATTTCATCCACATGAACAGATGTCAGAATGTCTTCACGCACCAACCGGGCAGATATTGCAATGGCATCTTCGTAATTGTAGCCATTCCAGGGCATGTAAGCAACGACCAAATTCTTCCCTAAAGCTACCTCTCCACCAACAATCCCCTGTCCTTCCGCTACTGCATCACCTGCGCATACCACATCACCAGCTGCCACTGCGCCAGTATCATGTGCTAAGGTGTGTTTTTTGGTCTCGCTGCAGTCCTTGAGCTTTTGATGTACCATTTCGGTCCGAACGCAATACTCCGTCTCGATCCAACCTTCAGGCAACTCCCCCAACTGGGCCTCCTCTTCAAAGTGAAAAGTCTGGGGAGTGATGCCAACCCGTGCTAAGCTTTCAGTTAGGGTGGCCTTCTTGATGTCATCCTCATGGTCACCACAGAGCACTGCAGCCAACCTCCCCAGCTCCTCCTGCGGCAGCCGCATGAGCAGCTCGTTGAAGTCGGAGTAGGAGACGGCCATGAGCCAGGCTCGGGTCCGATCAGCGTTCCAAAGATAGAACTCACGCAGGCGTCCGCGCAGCTTGGTGGTCTCGAAATCGACCTGGCGGAGGCAAAAAAAAGTTAAGGGAAAAGCTTAGATTGGCAATGATTGGTATTCTACGTAAAAAAACACGATCAAATCAGCCGCATTTCATTACCGAACCGAAATTTCGACCCACGCCCAAGTAGGGGACACTAAAGCTTGGTGTACCTCATTTTGCATTGTATAAATCCCTTAAATCAATCAATCCGTTGAAACATTACATGGTTGGCTTCCAGTTGATATTCCCATTACAATCCCATTGTATCCCCATTACTTTCGCATGCTAGACCATCCATTTCACCATTTTTTGCCTACCATAAATGCTCATTCTATGCTGGTCAAATCACATTAAATCCCATTCAAATGCCCCATTTTTAAACCACGTTTCCAATCACATATCCCACTTGTTGTCCCATGAAATATCCTCTGGTAATTTAACATAGCTATTGAAAATGACCATTTATAGTGGGTTTTCCCATTAAAAATTGTGATTTTCCATAGCTATGTTAGTTTACCAGAGGGTATCCCATTAAATATCCCATCCATTTCCAAATCTTCCGCGGCCCACAAAAGGGGTTCCACCTCTTCCACGCGGCTCTGAACCACGGTCACTGCTTGAGCATCCGCATACAGCACTTGCCCATCGATGCCTGCCTGGGTGGAACTAGTGGGGGCCAAGGACATTGGCCTTAAGAAACCATAGGAAAACCATAGGAAAACCATAGGAAAACCATAGGAAAATGGTGGTTTAATGGGATTTAATGGGATCTACCCTCTGGTAAACTGTTACATAGCTATTGAAAATCACCATTTATAATAGGTAAATCAACTATTTCTATGGTCCATTTTCAATAGCTATTTTGACATAACCAGAGGGTAAGCAACAAACCACGATTGACCTGATTTGACCATCTATTTTATGCGGGCTGAAGTATAACCTAGTATAACTATAGACTTTTTTACCAACTTGATATGATAGTTGGGACTGAAAATGAATGATGTACCCTCAAATGTTCAAGTTTTATTGGGAAATGATGATCACCATCAAAGTTGGGGGTACACAGTACCCCAACTCTGGGCAAAACCAAAGATGAAAGCCAAGTGGAATCATACTTCCACTTTTGGGGTCTGAAAACAAGTATAAGATATTCATGTTTGAACATGTTTGAACCATTTACCAGCCCGCATGCCATCCCAAATCTGCTTCAAGTCTGTTGAGAAGACCACATGTTTCAAACCACTGAAACCAGCGCTTCAGTTCACTTTTGGGTACCTAGGTTTCACCTGGTTTCAATGGTCATCAGCACCCCTTCCAGTCCAGGCCACATGTTTGCAGCGCCCGCTATAGGTCGCCACGTGTGCCTCCAGTCCTGTTCCCACCACCGGACGTTCGGGCCACAGGGTGGGCACTGATTGTTGCTGATGCTTGGCGCCCATCAAGGCGCGATTCGCATCATCGTGTTCCAGAAAGGGGATCATACCCACCTGAAGGTGCTGCCAGGCATAGGGTAGGGTATGATAGGGATATTGTTGGGATAATATACTGCATATATATATACACATTCTATATATATATATACAAATGTATGTACTCTATATATGTATATACAAAATGTATGTACTCTATATATATATACAAATGTGTATATATATATATATATGATGTAGATGTAGATGTATATTAATATGTATATGTATATGTTGATGTATGTGTATGTGTATGTGTATGTGTATGTGTATGTGTATGCGTATGTGTATGTGTATATGTATGGTATGGTATGGTATGGTATGGATGTATGTATGTATGTATGTGTGTATGTGTGTATGTGTGCATGTGTGCATGTGTGCATGTGTGCATGTGTGCATGTGTGCATGTGTGCATGCGTGCATGCGTGCATGCCTGGATGCCTGTATGCCTGTATGCCTGTATGCCTGTATGCCTGTATGCCTGTATGCCTGTATGTCTGAATGTCTGAATGCCTGAATGTCTGTATGTCTGTATGTCTGTATGTCTGTATGTCTGTATGACTGTCTGTCTGTCTGTCTGTCTGTCTGTCTGTCTGTCTGTCTGTCTGTCTGTCTCTCTGTCTGTATGTATGTACGTATGTATGTCATGTGATTGATGTAATTGATGTAATGGATGTAACGGATGTAATGGATGTAACGGATGTAATGGATGCAATGGATGTAATGTCTGTAATGGCTGTAATGGCTGTAATCTATGTAATGCATGTAATGCATGTAATGCATGTAATGCATGTAACGTATGTACAGTAATGCATGTAATGTATGTAATGTATGTAATGAATGTAATGTAATGTATGTAATGTATGTAATGTATGTAATGTAATGTATGTAATGTAATGTATGTAATGTAATGTATGTAATGTATGTGATGCATGTAATGCATGTAATGCATGTAACATATGTACAGTAATGTATGTTATGTATGTTATGTATGTTATGTATGTAATGTATTGTATGTAATGTAATGTATGTAATGTAATGTATGCAATGTATGCAATGTATGTTATGTTATGGTATGTTATGTTATGTTGCGTTGTGTTATGTTCTGTTATGTTATGTTATGTATGTATGTATGTATGTATGTATGTGTGTCTGTATGTCTGTCTGTCTGTCTGTATGTATGTATGTCCTGGTCATTCCTGGGCAACCATAAAAACACAGGAATAAATAAAGGTTTGAAACTACTTCGCATGAACCCAGCCACTGCCACTGAAACAGGGGATCCACAGGCAATGTATTCCACCTGCTCAGGGGCACAAGAGTAGATCAACCCCAGATGTGTGACGTTCACCGAGGTCAGTTCCTTCCACTGGGTTTTCTTCACGTGTCCGCCGCGTTCCGGACGCGCAGGTGCACACAGAGCACCGCTGGGGCCATGCGCCAGGTCGCTCTGAGCTACGCGACAGGCGAGTTGTTCGCGGGCGAACAAGTACCTGGTGGGCTCAGGGAGACACGGAAGTCTTTGGGGGGTCAGAGGTTTTGGTACCCGACATACCCATGTTTGGAGATGCTCATTGGCCTGACCCCCATTGCAAATCAAGGTTTAAAAAAACGACAAAAAGTACGCACTTTCTGCAGATGCCAAGCTTCTCCCAGGGCTTGTTGAGGAGGCGAGCCCCTTGCACCACCGGCTGGTGTGGTGCCTGGAAACCACTGGTGACAGTCGTTGGTTGTAGCTACCAACTACTAGTATACGAAGAAATCAGATACTGTACGCTCCCCTGCTGGCCCCCTGCGGGGCCCCTGCGGTCTTGGGTCAAAATTTGGGCAACTCAAAGTGGGTCTGAACCATTGGAAAACTTTATCGCTGCTGAATGGTGAGTCCCAGTGCAATTTTATCATCCCACATGTTTTTATGCATATATATATATATATATGTATAGTATATTATATATATATATGTATATATATATAATATATATATAATATATACAGGGTATAGTATAGTCTAGTATCGTATAGTTGGATAAGCCCCTTATGAAAAAACTCACCAACCAGGATTCTGAGTGGCTCCCGCCTGCAGCTCACCGTCTTCCGTGATCCGAGCGTTCGCAGCCATGGCCTGCACGATCCCAGCACCTTCGGAACTTCGGCCGGCCGAAGAAAAGCGATGGATTTTTCCAAAGGCCCTGCAAGGTGGTGATTTAATGGGATTTTATAGTGATTTAATGGGATTTTATAGTGATTTAATGGGATTTTATAGTGATTTAATGGGATTTAATGGGATTTTATAGTGATTTAATGGGATTTTGGGCACCAGTTCGTTAGCTAAGTTGGTGAACATAACTCCCATTAAACCTATGGTTTATGGCAGATATAACGAACTAGTATTCATGGGGTTTATAAACCAACTTATAACTGGGGGGCACCTGTGGGAATCTTGCCATGAAAAAAACCATGGATTGGTTTGGTTTAAGGGAAAATCTGAACCGGAAACCCATGGGTTTTTACCATCAAATATATATATAGGGCTTTCCGGTGAAAATTTTCCCCCATCATCCAGTTCTATGAAAGAAACCATCAACCATGGGGGAAAAAAACATGTCTATCTAAACTAATCTAAACCATCAAATATTGCTTTATAGAAACAAAAAAAAGGGAATTAACATGTATTAACATGTATTAACTATCCATCCCAGCCATTGGCTTTGCTACCTGACCTAGCATCCATCGCTGGGTGAATAATTTTGAGTCATAGCTGATTGGTGGCTTCGGCGTCAACCCCCCTGAACAATAAGAAGTCCCTTGAGGATCAGCCCCCCACTCTTACTGGAAGCCCGCCAAATTTATTGAAACCACCCAGCAGTTTTGGAACAAAAACAACCCGACTGGTTGTAAAGAAAATCGTGAAGTATGCTTTGTCGATTCTTCTGTCACCATGATTGAAATGGTTTCAAGGTCCTAACTTGTAGCCAGTTCATGTGAGTCCAACTGCTAAGCAGGAATTTGACCCACCAAATCCTTCAGAGGTAGACTACTATTGTGTCTTTCAAAACACATGAAACCCCCGAACATGTTTGTTGGTGTCAATGCTCTAAAAATTAAGTTTATAGTGAGCCGCATGACAGGATTGAATGAGATGGGGTGCGATTAGGCTGAAAACAAACAAATATGCACAGACGGCAGGTGGACAGGAAACAAACCTTCATAATTCTGTTGGACAGATGGATGGAAAGTCGGGATACGCAGAAAACAAAAAGGGTCGGTATGATGTAGCTACATTGGCTACATATCAGTGGCAAACTTGGCAATTACATATGGAGCTTTCCTAAAATGGTGGTACCCCCAATTCATCCAAAAGTAGACCAGTTTAGATCATTTTAGGACACACCGTTTTTTGGGAATTCCCAAAAAAAGAAAACATCTACTTCTCTGGGTTTTGACTCCCGGGCCGTGGCACTCATTCCTTCTCCCGTCTCAATAGGGCACACACGCCCGTACCTGCCAGCAGTTCAGCGCCGACAGGGTCAGAGCTAATCAGCTGGGGCAGGGCACTGGCTGGCGTGAATGAGTCGAATGCCTTGGATGCGTTTGATCTTGTCCAAACCCAGCTCGCTCCTTGGAAACGGCCAAGAAAACTCTCTGAAGCTTAGTGAAAACCTCCCATGCCTCACGTGTTTGGGGAGTTGTGTTGGTTGGTTTACCACCTGATTTCATCTGATTTCCCACCTGATTTCCCACTGAAGCTGCGGGTGAGTGGATGTTCTTTTTCGAGTGATTGATCGCGCACATGGTTGGGGCCTGCAAAGTGGATGGAACCTCAAGGCTTCTGCACTCCAACACTCCCCTGAAACCTGATGGAAAGCCTGTGGAATCCTAGGTTTGAATGTAATGTAGCTTGTGTCATTCAAGACACTAGTTCCCCGGGAGCTCCATAAAGAACAATAGTATGATCTATAGTTATGCAATGGTCTATACATATATATATATACGTGTAAATATAATCAACGCGTTCAAAGCAACTCAACCCTCTAAGTCCTCTACAACGTTTATTGCAAAAACCAGTAGGTTGGCAGTTTCAACCATACATCGAAAAACGAGTCGAATTGTTTTGAATTATAATCATTGTCCAAGTAAGATGATAGCACTAAGCCACCAAACCAGACATTTAACGGCAAAACCAAGACTCACTTGCGTAATTCGTCGCGCCTGCATGATCTCAGCCAGTGGGTTCAGCTGCTCAAAAAGTTGCCTTGCAGCTTTTGCGCTGAGCATAGATGGCTACCCCCTGATTTTTGGAAGTGCATGGGGATAGAAATATATACATATATGCATATTTTATACATCTACATATGTATGTATATATATATATATTATGTAGATTAGCTGTATCTGATAAAATAGGTCTATATCTGAAGTTTGGACCACTTGCTACTGCTACTACCGTCAATTGCAAGGACCTGCCATCTTCGACCCTGCCATGAGGGGTCGCTTGGAATGTTTGATGAAAAGCAACGATCCTTGCATTGTCGAGGCAACTACGACTGAATGAACTCAGCACATGAACTCCAAGGACAGTGAACAAGGGTGGGGGTGAGGAGGAGGAGGACCCCACCAACACAATCAATGACGACTACGAACCATCCGTACAAGAAGGACGTGCATCAGAAACCACAACAAGAACTGCTAGGCCGCTAGGCTTGAACAAAGCTAACCCACTGCTGCTGGCCTGTTGTTCTCCTTCCAAAGTTCAGACACACAGAACTTCAGCAGGTCGGGAGTCCCCCCTGTCACAATCTCCCCAGTCATCTTGTTGACATCCACAGAAATCGGCAAGCCAGCAGCCTCTCGTCACAATGGCGGTGAGTCAGGTGATTTTTTTCACGGTCTTTCCGGAGGTTTCCCTCTGGTAAACTAACAAAAAACTATGAAAAATCACCATTTTTGATGGGTAAATCCACTATAAATGGCCATTTTCAATAGCTATGTTAAATTACCAGAGGGTTGATCATGGGTGGAGGACAATCTCATCATTACCTTCAAATTCCAATTGCTGAGAGATCCTCTTGGTAAAAACCCTCATGAGTACTACAAATATCCAAATTTGAGACACAAGCAAAAAAAAGGAATGTACCATCTGGTTAAATGACTAACAGTTCGCCATGGAAAATCACCATGCTATGAAGTTCGGTAAACCATCTATTTCGATTAGGGCCATCAACAAACCATGGCGAACTGTTAGTCATAACCAGAGGGTAATATGATGTAATAATTACCCTCTGATAATTTAACATAGCTATTGAAAATCACCATTTTTAATGGGAAAATCCACTATTTCTATGGCCATTTTCAATAGCTATTTTGACATAACCAGAGGGTAATGATATTGAGTATCGAAAAAAAGAAAGAAAAAAAAACTACTGAGTCCAGTGAGCCCACCCAGGAACCTAACCTTGCAAACCTGGCACCCATGGTCAGATGCGACTTGGCGATCGTGAGCTGTTTTTTAAAGGGCAGCCAGAATAATGAACCATTCCCAATCTGTGGCTTAATAATTTGGGTATACCCATACTTGAGAGGGAAAAAAACATGGCCCGCGAATGGTTAATAATTTGGAATGGTTTTATGAATGTCAACCGTGGATTGGTGTTGACTCCTGGGCTGCTGATTATTGGATACCATTTTAACAGCAAACGACAGGTACTATTTGGGGCTAACCCCCCAATTGATCAACAAGGTTATATTTTAACCCAGAGTTGACATTACACATCATGTTTATAAGTAATCAACCAGGGTTTATTGGTAGACCGCAAAATGGTTTGTAAATTGCTTTCAATTCAAAGAGGTTGTCTTACCAATCGCGCCTTATTGACGATGCTGCTCAACCAATCTCGAACCATACTCTGCATCTTCAATCCCACCGGCCGGAGCCTGCAATGCAAAAAATAACCGTACCAGGCCTTCGTGTGTGTGTGTATACCCTCTGGTAAACATACAAAAAACTATGGAAAATCACCATTTTTATTGGGAAAATCCACTATAAATGGCCATTTTCAATAGCTATGTTAAATTACCAAAGGGTATACAATATATAAGCATATCTGTATTGGCATTTTGGACCAGCAGTTTAGACAAAAATAAATGTATCTCATTGTTACAATTTTCTGACTCAAAATAAGTCAGAATAAAACGAGCATGTCCGATTTTTCCGAATCATGATTTCAGACAAAATAGACTGTAGTTTTCTTCTCACGCTCGTATTCACCGAAACACAGGCACGTGCAGTGGTTTCTGAAACAAAGTTTAAACTTTTCAGGGAAGTTGATACAGAAATGCACATATCACATTCTTTTGAAATCATCACATAACTGCATGCGTCAAGGAGGAAAACTATGGGACCCACTTCTAGTCCATACAACCTTCCGTCTTTGGGCTTCGCCAACGCCTCTTGTTGACCAGGGAGTCGATATCATCTGTCTGCAGTGGATTTGTTCCTAAAAACGATCCAGCCAAAAGGTTTGCCGTGGCCAACATGTCTTGGGCCGTCAAATTTTCATCCTCAGTTTCGGAGTTGAAATTTCAGGCATTCTTGACATCAAATCCATTTGTCGATGAAGGTTTCCTGTACACTGCTGGCAATCAAACATGGTTTTTTGGAAAATCACCTATTTCTGTCTGACTACTTAAATGCCTATTTTGTTCCTGGAGCTTCCAGCGAGGCAATAGGTGCGTTAGCGGATCTGCTGCCGTATCGATCCAACGGCAGTCTCTGAGGCTTCCACAAGTCCATTGGTGGGTCCGTCGGTTTACACAGTGCAACGGACCAAATTGAGAAATTTCGATGGTGATTCCGATCTAGCGCGAAACTCATCCCCTATTCATCCTCCTATCAATCCCCCAAAAACAACCTTCGCTTCTGGGTCCTTATGCCATGTTTTCATCTCAATATCCTTGTACGTCTCTCCTCATATTGTCAGTCCAGCAAATACCTTCCATGAGCCGATTTTTTTGCCCGCAATCCCCGAACTCAATGGGTATCTATCTCTATACACATATATATATATATACATACATATGGAAAATATATATGTATATGGAAAAATCATCGAACAAAAATGGGCGAATATTCCAGCAAACCGTGTTTTCTTTGAGGGTATTCACCCATTCATGATATCCTCATCATATCCTCATTATTAACGAATATAATATAAGCCACCATCTTATTGTATCATAACACGAGGATACCATGATATAATATCTAGGATAATATATTACAGATATAATATCTAATATCCTCTTCATTAAACCACCATTTTTATTAATTAAACGGTGAAACCATCCCGTTTTTTAAGCCCGAGTTTCCTTGAGGTTCAACCCCAAACGTTGGTTGAGGCGCTGTCGCCCCAGCGACCCCACGCGGCTCTGGAAGGACCACGAAGTCCTCGAGACGTCGGCCAGGGGCGAAGTTGATCCAGGGGAAACCTGGGGAATAGAATCCCTATATTGGGTATCTATGTGCATGTGTGTGTGTATATATATATATGTAGACATGTATTGCATACATGTACATGTGCGTGTGCACATATGTATGTAATCCTAAACAAAAAGGGTGGATAGAAGTTTCCAACTGTTCAAAGACCTAAATCAAATGCAGTTCATGATTGGGTTTACCAAAGTAGGTGGGTTGAAACATCCCGCCCTTCAGGTGGCCTTTTTGGTGGCCCTTTTAGCGCACATGGAACCCCCCGACTTGAGATGCAACTATCTCCTTGAAGCCGTGAGTTGCATACTTGTCCATAGCTAATCTTGTTGACTAGAAGATTCCCGACTATCCAAATCCTATTAGTGTGGATTTCAACAATATATACTAAGTGTATATGTACGTACGTATGTATCGTCAAAGGAAGTTTAGGGGGAGAAACTTCCGTGTTACGGACTTTTAGAATGTCAGGGAAAGAGTTAGTCAAAGAAAGAGTTAGTCAAAGAAAGAGTTAGTGAGGGAAAGAGTTAGTTAGGGAAAGAGTTAATTGTAACTTTTAGACTGTCAGGGAAAGAGTTAGTCAAAGGAAGAGTTAGTTAGGGAGAGAGTTAATTGTAACTTTTAGAATGTCAGGGAAAGAGTTAGTCAAAGAAAGTTAGTTAGGGAGAGAGTTAATTGTAACTTTTAGAATGTCAGGGAAAGAGTTAGTCAAAGAAAGAGTTAGTGAGGGAAAGAGTTAGTTAGAGAAAGAGTTAGTTGTAACTTTTAGAATGTCAGGGAAAGAGTTAGTCAAAGGAAGAGTTAGTTAGGGACAGAGTTAATTGTAACTTTTAGAATGTCAGGGAAAGAGTTAGTCAAAGAAAGAGTTCGTGAGGGAAAGAGGAATGTCAGGGAAAGAGTTAGTCAAAGAAAGAGTTAGTGAGGGAAAGAGTTAGTTAGGGAAAGAGTTAGTCAAAGAAAGAGTTAGTGAGGGACAGAGTTAATTGTAAATGACATCTTCAAGTTGGATTTTTGAAGGAAGTCTCGCACGAAATGCGTTTTTGAGAGATAGCAGATGCACGAAACCCTATGTTTTTCCATACAAAGTCCGTCCCCGAACCTCGATGATCTACCTCTGCGGTGCGACGGTTGCGAGACGGTCTCGTGTGTGGTCGGATCATGGTCGGGGTCTCGGATCATGCTCGGATCGGTTCCGCATTGTAAATGGGGTTTCACCTGTTTTTCGTGCATGTGCGGTCGACAGAATTCCATTGTGATTTGCAACTGTAGGATCGTTCCCGCAATGTAAATGGGATTGCAAGTGGTGCTGGTGGATGAGTTGCCGATGGAATTCCATTGTGATTTGCAACTCTAGGATCGTTCCCTCACTGTAAATGGGATTGCAAGTGGTGCTGGTGGAGGAGTTGCCGATGGAGTTTTGAAGGAAGTCTCGCACGAAATGCGTTTTTTGAGAGATAGCAGATGCACGAAACCCTATGTTTTTCCATACAAAGTCCGTCCCCGAACCTCGATGATCTACCTCTGCGGTGCGACGGGTGCGAGACGGTCTCGTGTGGGTCGGATCATTCTCGGATCATGTTCGGATCATGATCATTCGGATCGGTTCCGCATTGTAAATGGGGTTTCACCTGTGTTTCGTGCATGTGCGGTCGACAGAATTCCATTGTGATTTGTGACTGTAGGATCGTTCCCGCAATGTAAATGGGATTGCAAGTGGTGCTGGTGGATGAGTTGCCGATGGAATTCCATTGTGATTTGCAACTGTAGGATCGTTCCCGCAATGCAAATGGCATTGCAAGTGGTGCTGGTGGAGGAGTTGCCGATGGAGTTGGAAGTCTCGCACGAAATGCGTTTTTGAGAGATAGCAGATGCACGAAACCCTATGTTTTTCCATACAAAGTCCGTCCCCGAACCTCGATGATCTACCTCTGCGGTGCGACGGGTGCGAGACGGTCTCGTGTGTGGTCGGATCATGTTCGGATCATGGCGGATCATGCTCGGATCGGTTCCGCATTGTAAATGGGGTTTCACCTGTGTTTCGTGCATGTGCGGTCGACAGAATTCCATTCTGATTTGCAACTGTAGGATCGTTCCCGCAATGTAAATGGGATTGCAAGTGGTGCTGGTGGATGAGTTGCCGATGGAATTCCATTGTGATTTGCAACTGTAGGATCGTTCCCGCAATGCAAATGGCATTGCAAGTGGTGCTGGTGGAGGAGTTGCCGATGGAGTTGGAAGTCTCGCACGAAATGCATTTTTGAGAGATAGCAGATGCACGAAACCCTATGTTTTTCCATACAAAGTCCGTCCCCGAACCTCGATGATCTACCTCTGCGGTGCGACGGTTGCGAGACGGTCTCGTGTGTGGTCGGATCATGCTCGGATCATGCTCGGATCATGCTCGGATCGGTTCCGCATTGCAAATGGGTTTCAACTGTTTTTCGTGCATGTGCGGTCGACACATGGCGTTGGAGCTACAATTTCCGACGCCGTTGCGCGTAGTTCTATTGTGTTTTGCAACTCAGTCTCTGCAGATCCTATTGCAATGGCTGCGTCAAAGTTGCTTCGTGCTGTGGCTGCATTTGTAATACTATTGTCTTTTGCAGCTGGA